GCACTCCATTTAAATGAGAAAAAACTTTAAAACTAGATTCTCACACTTGAACTGCTTTTCAAGAGACTATTTTGAATGGAGTGGAAAGAGTACTGGGAGGTCAAGTTAAATGAGGCTGAGGATGATAATTGGCATAGATTGTTGGGGATTTAAGCTTCAGTGATGTGTTGCTGTACTCCCTGAATGAAAATGAAGCTGAGCAATTAAAGCATTAAGGAAGGACTCTTTCAAAAGGAGAAGACTGGGGGACATTAGGGGTTGAAGAATAGTTGTCTGTGTCAAGATGAGAATGTTAAACATATCTAAATGTTTAGAAGGAGCAAATGGAAAAAGGACCTTCAATAGACCATAGGATCAAAGGGTTAGAGCACAAATTCACATTGGTAGGTTGGTTTGGCCTTAGTGGCCAAACTTCATTGTAATTGGTTCAGATGCAGGGAGTGTTACCGTACTTGACAATAAATTGAACTATTTCCCGTCTAATGGCTTTGTTTTTTGTTTCAGAAATCAGAGGCAGTCACCTGCTGAGAACCAGGGGATCAGAGATTGGAGGGAAGAGGGTGTGGGAGCAGACTAGAGAGAGTGGGCTTGCCAGCGCTCAGGAATTTAGGTACACACATCCCGAAGGTGCATGATTGGATTCCCAGGGTTTGAATTTTGCCAGGCCTGTGGAACAAGCAGACCAAAAGAGAGGAAATTTGAGTGTCAACAGGAGACAGTCTAAAATGTGGGATGAGGGAATCTAAGCTAGACAGGATGTGGCTGACATGGGGAGAAATTGGAGGGATCAGTGGTCCATGCCACTCCTCCCTGATGGCCGTCAGCCACTGCTGAGTTTCCAGAGCAAGCCAGCCACCCCCTGCCAGAGCCACCACAGGCAGTCCTAGTGCCTGACGCAGCCCCTGGCAGCAGCCCACGTGTCTGTGGTGGGTTTGAGCAAACACTGTGCTCAGCACTTTGTAGATGACTGCCCCCACCAGCAAAGAGGAGGATCCATTCACCAGCCACAGCCAGTGCAAGGCCCTGACACTGGATTCTGTGTGCAAATCCAGATTCCATCGTGTGGCCTTGGGTGGGTCCTGCCTGTGCTCCAAGCCTCAGTTCCCTCAACAGCACATGTGGGAGAGCTGTGCCTGACTCGGGAGCCTTGGTGGTGTAGTGGGTTATCTGTTGGACTGCTAGCTGAGAGTCAGTGGTTTGAACCCACTACAAGAGAAAGACTAGGCTGTCTGCGTCCGTATGGGTGAGGAGTCCGCTGAGTGATAGTGAAGCAGCTGCCTGCACTGATGGAAGAATTATCAGCTGCTGGTGGCATGTCGTAGTGATTTTGAGTGATTGTGGGGTCCAGGGTTGACAGTGAAGTGGATTGCAGTAGTTTAGTTGAATGTTCTTGAGCTTAAAAGCAGCCCCCTGCCTTTTTCTTTTTTCCTAAATTGGGGAGAACTTGGTTTACATGTGGAATCAAAAAAAAATTGAGGAGACCTTAATCCTACTTGCTGCCCTGAAATAAAATGGCCCATGAGAACAAGAAACTTCCAGTGGAAAGCTAGAACTGTTCCTGGAACATTTTGACCTCAGGATTTTGACTATGGCTTCGTGTGTGCCAGCAGGACATGCTGCTCTTGGGGAACTTGGATGTGAGTAGGGAGGGGCCAGTCAGGTTGTTTGTCTATTTGTTTGTTTCATTTTGCTGGTGACGATTGTGGCAGCGGTATGGTTCTGGATCTGGTATCCTGGGAAGTGTCTTCGCCATATAGTTGGGTGGTTTTCTGATTTGGCAGAAAAATGCCCAGTTACCATTGAGTCAATTTTCATTCAGAGTGACCTGCTTCCAGGGCTGTACAGCTCTCTCCCATGAAGCATCTGGAGTGTTGGAACCACTGACCTTTCTTTTAAGCCCAAGACTTAACGCACTGCACAAGCAGGGCTGTCACTGTAATTTCCCAATTTGACAAGCAATTGTTTCTAAACTGCTTTTTTCTCCCCCTTTAACCCAGCTGACTCGTATAGACTCATGTCTTCTCTATCCTTCCCTCTGTGACTTGTCAGTGACCGAAAGAAGTAGATCTTGTATTTCTTGAAGGTTTTGCTTTATATATCTTGATGTTTAGAAGTTCATGATACCAAGTATGGCTCAAGTTTAAGTATTAATCAATATCACTTGAAGGTCTTCTTAAACCACAACTTGCTCCTCAACCCTCAGAGTCTCTGATTCAGTAAGTCTCGGAGTTCTGGTGCCCTAGTAGATTGTGTTGAGCTGCTAACTGCAAGGTCAGCAGTTTGAAACCACCAGCTACTGTGCGGAAGAAAGATGAGGCTGTCTGCTACCTTAAACATTTACAGCCTCGGACCTGCAAATGGGGCAGTTTTACTCTGTCCCATAAAGTCACTATGAGTCAGAAATTGACTTGATGGTTTAGTTTAGCACCGGAAATTTTCATTGCAATAGATTCCCTGGTGATGCTGACACTACTGGGTGGGAGTCACACATTGACATCCTCTGATATGAACCATTCACTACCCTAAAATAAATCCCTTTCTGTTTAATATGAGTAATGAATGCTCTGTTCTATGCAGCTGAACCTTGACCTATGTGTTGCTGCTGTTTTTTGGTGCCCTTTACTCAGTTCTGACTCATGCCGACTCTCTTTTCCATCCTTACCTGTGTGCTCTCGGTGTCTAAAAGTACATCTTGAATTTCTTGAAGATTTTGCTTTATGTTTTTTAGCTTTTTTTCTCACTTTATGTCTTTTGATGCTGTTATTTGATGTCTAGAAGTTCATGGTACTGAAGTTTATGTGGTTTGAAGTTGTATTCTTTATGAACTCCCTTTCATCTCACTCAGTACTTTTTCCCATGTTCAGCTTTGCTATATACAATCACAGTACCTCCTTTGGTTTTGCTCACAGATGCCCTGCATATTTTAATTCCTCTCTTCGCGTTCACCTTTTTGAGTGCCTGACTCGGGAGCCCTGGCGGCAGAGTGGGTAACACAGGCTGCTCCCCACAAGCGGTTCAGCAGTTTGCGCCCACGGGCACTGCACAAGCGAGTTTTCCGTAGGAGCAGGTCGGCTCAGGTCTTTCCTCCTGTGGCGTGGCTGGCAGCTTCCATTGACATTTTAGGTCATAGCCAAGCGCTTAACTGTTGCACCACCAAGGCTCCTTTAAAAAAAATCATTTTATTGGGGGCTCATAGAACTCATCACCATCCATCCATCCATCTATCATGTCAGGCATATTTGTACATTTGTTGCCATCATCATTCTCAAAACATTTGCTTTCTACTTGAGCCCCTGTGCTTCTATTTTCAGTCTTTTCCTGGGTCTCTAAAACTTTTTATGATTTCTGTGGTTTACTGGTTATTTTGGAAGGAATATAATAAATACTGTATTTTCAGTTTTTCTGAGCCTCTAACTGATGCTAAACAAACCCAATGTTTTCCGATTCCTCGGCCTCAAAAGCAAAATTAGGACACTTCTTTTGTCTTTATTCTGCATGAGAGCCTAAAATTGTTCATCTCAGAGTAGTGGTATTTTTACATGTTGGGGCCTTTACAATGTTTCAATTAGTCTCTTAGACCTGGAGTTGCCACGGTTACTTAAACTTACTTTGATGTTTCCCTGAATGAAATGCTTGCTAGCAGTCTTTTCATGTCACACTTTCTCTATTAGAATATTCTTTACATCTCTTTCAATTGGCTAAATCGGGCCTTCAAATAGACTTTAAGATTATTATTATTTAGTAAGGGTGTTAGAGTGGTACAGTTCATAGGATCTTGCCTATTTAAAATGTCATCCTGTTGCCCTGTACTTGAATGGCATCCTAGTTAAGTAACGGATTCATAAACCACATCCTTTCTCTGGACCCTGTGTCTTTATCTTTTGCCGCCAAGTGTTTCTGAGAGCTGAAGCTTCCCGATACCACCCTCCCCCCCTTTCTTTCTTGGTAAAGGCATGCTTCTTCAGCTGAGGTACTTAGTATTTTTGTTTGAAATTTAGTATCTTCACGGGTATTTCTTGGTCTTGATTCTTTGTTGCTTTTCCCCTTTTTTTAACAGTGTCCTTTTTTGATATCTAGGCTAAGTGAGATCTTTAAGAAAAAAGGCTTGGGTTTCTTTGTTTTGTTTCTATCTGCAATTTGTGTGGTTTTATTCAGGCCTTGTCCTTCATGTCGTTGCTTCTGCTGTGTTAATTTCTATGATTTTATTCTTAGACTTGCTTTCTTTTCTGACCTTGCCACTGTTGTATCTTTAAACGCCTGCAGCTTCGTTACTTTTCTTGTGTCTTGGAATCCACAGTCTCATTGGCTTTCATGATACTAGGAAAGGTTTTTTATGGAAGTTATTTTTTAGAGCAATTCTTCAAAAAGACACCTCCTTCCTTTTTTCGCCCCCAATTTCTATACTATCTGTGCATAGGTCTGATTGATGTTGGCTATTTTTTCTTTATTGCTAATTTGAGGAATAGCTCTATCAGGAAAGAAGGCCTGGGAGTGCTGTGGTTACATGCTGGGCTATAAACCGAGAAAGGTCAGCAGTTTGGACCCCCAGACACTCCACAGAGAAAGCTCTGGCAGTCAGCTTCAGTAAGGATTTACTGCTGTGGAAACCCTATCGGGTAGTTCTACTCTGTCATATAGGATCGGATGTAGATTGGAATCCACTCAGCAGCAACAGGTAGTTGTATCTGGATTTGCCGGTTACCAAAGAACAGTGGGTAGATTCTTCTGATCTGTTTACCTGGCCACTGTTATATTGTGTGTATCATATCAGATCCTTAGCACATGATATTGCAATATCTCCCTAGCACACTAAAAGGGTGGATATTGTTATACTAGTTTGTAATCTGTTTAGACTTCCTTCTTCAAGGGAACTAAAGGGAAATAAAGTTGGGGACATTATTTTATTTTATTTAGTTATTTTTAATCATTTTATTAGGGGCTCATACAACTCTTATCATAGTCCATACACACATCAATTGTGTAAAGCTCATTTGTACATTCATTGCCCTCGTCATTCTCAAAACATTTCCTCTCCACCGATGGGAACTTTATTTTTTATAGTATTTGTATTAGGGTGCTTTCCATCCTTATCATTAAGGCACATAGAGACCTGTAGGTGGTTCTCTCCTGGAGCTTGAGCGGTTTCTCCTCCTTTATTTATCACTGGTGAACACCTGATTCTGGCAAGACACTGTGCAGTTGGAGGTTGTTCAGGGTTTTTGGTGTAATGGTCACTATTGTTTCGTGCCCCCTGGGTCCACAGCTGGCTTATTTCTGAGTTTGAAGAAAATGAAGATTCATGACAGCTTTACCCATTATTTACTGTGGATAGGGGATGCTGGAAGGGGATGGTCCTGAAATGTCTCATAACCACCCACCTCCCCTGTCCAGGTGTAAAATTGATGGCAAGATAGTCTGAAATCTGTTCCCAGACTAATATCCACAGGGGTGGTTATTAGGTCTAGCCATCCCCCATGGGTTGTCCTAAAACCTGTGAAAGCCGCAATGTGTGTAAGGTGGCAACTGTAAGGTCAGAGAAGGAAAACTCTAGGATTTACACCCAAACAAGCACTAGAAAACTATGTCAGAGGTGGCAAGCTCTTGAGACTCAGTGAAGCAGGGTGGTCCCAGAGTCTGGTTCTCACGGATGGCACTGTATGATCTTGCAAATACTCCTTGTCATCTGTGTTACAAAGTGGTAGCCCTCCCCTAGGTTCAGAATAGGCTTTTCTTATTTGCATTTTGTGGGTGAGTGGATATGGGGCAGTTTGGTTCATTTCACTAGGTTTGGAGTGGGGACAGAGTTGAATAATGTGTGTGTATTGTAATCTTTTTTCCAAGAAGCTCTGTAACCTTGAAATTAAATAACAAATTAGGCACTTATTAGCATAGTGCTTGGCTATAGCGAATGGTAGGTTGCTTTCATTCCTAATTGTTTATAAGAATGTAAGTTGCATGAGTATAAGTTGCATGCGGGCAGGAACCCTGTCTCCCTTTTTAATTGCCATAGAAGCAGTGCCTTGGGCAGAGCCTGACCTAGAGAACATGCTCTGTCAGTGGCTGGCTGGGTGAAAAGGTGACCGGGGAGCTTGGGTGTCTGGGTATGAGGTGTGGGGAGGGAGAACAAAAGCAGACGAAGCTGAGCTTGGCATGCATGTAAGCAAGGTCATTTGCTTCTGCCCTCTACTTATTTGTCTGTCTCTGTGTGCAGGGGCAGCCATTGTGGGGGGTGCTGATGGATACCTGCGGGGTCGGCTGTGTTGCCCTGGGGGAGGCCGGCCCCGTGGGGAGCATGACTGTGGTAGACTCTCCCGGGCAAGAAGTGCTAAACCAGCTTGACGCCAAGGCCTCTTCAGAAATGACCAGTGCCACCGAAGCTTCCATAGAGATGTCTTTACCTAGCCCTTTGCCTGGATTTGAGGATTCTCCTGAAAAGAGGAGGCTCCCTCTAGAGCAGGAAGGCATCTCCCGACTGGAACAGCAAGGTAAGGGCCTTGTCTGTGCTCTGCACTCCTAGCTTAAGATACGAGAGCAGGTTGAACGCACAGGATCTTACACACCTGTGTATGGTATAAGCTACTCCAAAGAGGAGGTTTAAGTCAGCAGGGGTTGGCCTGAGCTCTGGTCCCCTCTCACAGACCCATATTCTTCTCTACAGATCTTTCTTCAGAGATGGCAAAAGTCTCAAAGCCTAGGGCCTCAAAGCCTGGCCGGAAGAGAGGTGGTAGGACACGAAAAGGCCCCAAAAGGCCCCAACAGCCTAATCCTCCATCAGCCCCTCTGGTTCCTGGCCTCTTAGATCAATCCAACCCTCTTCCCACCCCCATGCCTAAGAAACGAGGTCGAAAGTCCAAGGCAGAGCTGCTACTGCTGAAGTTGTCCAAAGGCCTAGATCAGCCAGAGTCTCCACCTCCAAAGAGGCCCCCTGAGGACTTTGAGACCCCTCCTGGGGAACGACCCCGCCGAAGGGCTGCCCAAGTGTAAGGATTGTGGGGCACAGCTTGGTGGAGGGGGGTTGGGGTGAAGGGATCAGGGTGGGACAGATGTTGAAGAGACGACTGGTGAGGTATCAGGTAAGCAAGGGTGGTGTCTTGGGTTCTGGGAACTTGGATGATTTAGCTCTGAGCACAGCAACTTTTAATCTCTGCTGACTTTGTCTGTCTGGTAGGTTTCCTTTCTGTGTCTTGTACCTCCTAGCCCCCAGTCACCTTCTTCCTGAGCTGCCCCCTCTGCATCCGTATATATGTGCCCTTCCACTCTTCCCTGTCCCGCCATGGTCTTTGACTGTGGTAAGGGGAAAGGTGCATTGACTGTTGGAAGACCTGGGTTTTGAATTCAGACTTGTTATCTGAGTCATCTTCGCCAGGCCACTTCACTTTCCTGAGTTTCTGTTCCTTCTTCTGCCAGAGGGGAGGGGAGATGTGTACCTGCTTCACAGGGTTACGGGGAGCAGCCAGTGAGACAAGTGTCTGGAAGAGTGGGCCCTCCGGTGAGCGTCTGTGAGTATGGCTCTGTCTCTGCCCTGTCCCCAGGGCACTTCTGTATCTTCATGAACTGGCTGAGGAGTTCTCCACAACACTGCCTGCTCCAGTGGCCTGTCCTGAGGGCGCCAGGTTGAGCAGCCCCACCACGCTGAAGCAGAGCCAGCTGGAGGGAGACCCTCACGGTGTGGTGGGAGGAGAGGATGATACCGCGGGAGACGAAGACTTTGTTCTCCGGGTTAAGACAGAAGAGGAAGAAGAGAGTGAGATCCCGAGTGAAAGCTCCTCCGACCCTGAGCCCGCAGTGCCCGCCACGCCCGCAGTGCCCGCCACGCCCACAGTGCCCACTGCACCCACAGTGCCCACTGCGCCTACCGTGCCCACCGCACCCACTGTGCCCACCGCATCCACTGTGCCTGCGGTGCCCCGAAGTGCTCCGCGAGGATCCACTTCCGGGGTAACCTGAAAGGATAAGACACAGTGGGGTTCTTAAGGGTTCAGCAGAGTGTGCCAAAGGATAGCTTTGGCTTAGGAACTGTGATGTCCAAATGGGTCAGAGACGATAAGGATAACGTCAAAAGCAATTGAGAAGTTAGGGAGATGGGGAGGGGGCTCGGAACCACGAGTATTCCTATACTGAGCATCTGTTCCGCTCTAGGAAGCAAATGGGAGTGTGTAGGCATGTAGAGAACTGGTGATTCATTGATTAGGGGGGCTCACAGAGAGGTGGTTTTGAGCTAGGTCTTAGAAATTCCCCAAAGGACTGGTTTTCCCAGAAACGGATTATGGCCAGAGCCTTGGGTCTAAGTGGTGACAAAGATTACGTTGGGATGAAAGGACAGAGGTTGAGGAAGCATCGCGTGTGTGCCGTGCTAGTGGATGCCTTTCATCTTCTAGGGTCAGGCGTCCCAAAGGGTTGATGGTTGGAATCCCCTGGGGATCTGGTACAGATCTCTGGACTACTCCCCCTAGAGATTTGATTCATTGGGTTGTAAATGGAGCCTGTGGATCTGTAGTTTTCATCAGATCTGCAGGTCATTCCAATGATCAGCTTGGGAAACGGCTCTAGGGCCTAGAGTGGAGCAGCTATGCGGAGCCCACACAGGTTTTTAAGTAAGAAGCTAAACGTGATCAGTTAGGAAACTAGATCAGGCTGCGGCTGAGAAGATGGCTTTGTTTACCCAAGTGAGGGGGCGGGAAGGCCTGAACCACAGTGGAAGATGAGAAGGTGAGAAGGGACAGGTGCAAGAGATGGAAAAGAGCGTTAACAGGGCATGGGACTTGAAGGAAGAAGTTGAATGGGAGTTAATCGTTTTATTGGGGGCTCGTACATCACTTATCACAATCCATGCATCCTTCCATCGTGTCAAGCACATTTGTACAATGTTACCATCATCGTTCTCAAAGCATTTTCTTTCTACTTGAGGAACGGGAGTTTCTAGTTCAGGCTGGTACCATGCAGTGATTTCTGAAACACGGGAAGAGTGCAGGGGCCAAGGAGTGAGGCCAGCTGGAGATTGCTTGGTTTATGTCTTGACGTGTTACGCACTGGATGGGCTGGGGATGTCTGGTAGCTAGTTAGGTATATGGGACCAGGACTTCCTTTACTTGGAGGGCAACATCTAAGGGAACACAAAAAGCTCAGCATCTTGTAGAAAAGATGATGACATTTCAGTATAATACTTGGAAAGCCCCAAATTAATGTTCACGAATCCATGGTGAACAGGGTACTCTGCCTTTCTGAATATCCATTTGCTCAGTCTTTGATGTGGCTTGGCCCAACACTGGGCCTCGGACTTGGAGAAAAGTTTGCCTTCACTGAGTTCTACCTCTGATCATCAGATGTAAAGCTGGCAGTCGGAGCACTGGCCATGGATGTGGCTCTCAGGAGTGATTCAGAAGACAGGAGGGGCTCTGGGGAATGTCAGTATTGAGTCTGCAGGGAGAGTAAGGGGAACCCATGAGAGAGTATGAGAGGTGGGGCGACTCCCTTGGGGCAGGACCTTCCGCAAGCCCCTGGGTGTCCTATGAACCGAATGCCTTGGAAAGACCAAGGAGGATGAACAGAATCAGTCACATGTCATCATTCCAATGGAGGTGTAAGCAGAAGGTGGGGAAATTGTCATCATTGGCATGAATTCTTTCAGGTGCTGATAGGGCAGGGACTAGAGAGGAAATGATGCCAAGGAAAGTAAAGGCGAAAGAAAGCGGAAACCTTGCTCCTTTTGGACTTCCCACCAGCCTATGAAACGGTTTCCTTTACGTTTTCTTCAATTCCGTCCCATAGAAGCAGAAGCCTCACTGCCGAGGAATGGCTCCCAATGGCTTACCCAATCACATCATGGCTCCTGTGTGGAAGTGCTTCCACCTCACCAAGGACCTGTAAGATGTGGGAGGAGGGCTGGAGGGGTGATGTTGGAGTCCAGAGTGGGGGTCCGGAAGTGGGTCGGTGGGGGAAAGAGGGCATTCACAAGCCGAAATTCCTCCGTTGCGCCAGCCCCATTTCCACTGTCCAACACTGCTGCAGCGAGTGCCTCCCGTGTTGGATAGGATTGCGCTGGGGTCTCTGCCCCTTCATTAAGGCTGCTTCTGTTCCCTTAGCCGAGAACAGAAGCATTCATACTGGGAGTTTGCAGACTGGATTCCTTTGGCCTGGAAGTGGCACTTGTTATCTGACATGTAAGTTAGAGCCATTTCTGAAACCTTGGAGGGGCAGCACCACATGAGATGGAAGAGTGACAGCGGGGCTCTGAGTCTATGTTGGGGATTCCTGGAATTGTTGGAACTCTTCCAACTTCCTCTTTGCCTTCCTGCAGTGAGGCTGCTCCCTACCTGCCCCAAGAGGAGAAGTCTCCACTGTTTTCTGTACAGCGTGAAGGACTTCCTGAGGACGGCACACTCTACCGCATCAATAGGTAAAGATTGCAGCTCGGCCCTTTTCTGATCCTAGGAGGCAGAAACAGGACAAACAAGTGTTCGCAGGGATGGCCAGTTAGCCCTGCCTTTCCCGTTATCTTGGCCTCAGGGGTAAGTCTCCTGGCCAGAGCGAGTCAGCTCTCAAATGCTGCCTCATCACTGCTGGCCAGACTGGGGGAAGGTAGGGAGATGTTGGAGGGAACCAGTTCATCACCTTTTCATCTACAAAGCCTTATCTACTCAGGGAGACCCAGACAGGCTGACCCCTAGAGTGAACATTGTAGTAAAGGCGCCTGAACAGTCCATCTGCAAAATGAGCTGCAGCTGGACAGACTTGGGGGCAAAAAAGAGAAAGATGCAAGGGCTGGCTAAGAAGTCTTCTCTTGCAGACTGCTCTTGATCCTCCCTTGTCTTCTGCGGACTCGGCTGAAGCCAGTTCACACTAGTGCTGGGTGGCACTTTCATTTAGCCCTCACTCCTTTCTATAAATTCCTCTCTTCATCCCCTCTTCGCCTCCCCCTAGATTCAGCTCCATCAGAGCGCACCCTGAGCGCTGGGACATGTCCTTCTTCACGGGGGGACCGCTCTGGGCTCTGGAGTGGTGCCCAGTGCCAGAGGGGGCAACAACCTCGCAGTATGTGGCCCTGTTCTCCAGCCCTGACATGAATGAGACGCACTCACTGAGCCAGCTGTATTCAGGCCCGGGGCTGCTCCAGCTCTGGGGCCTTGGGACTTTGCAGCAAGAAAGCTGGTGAGGTGGGGGCTGGGACAGTGCCCTAAGAGGGTGGAGACTGGGCAGAGGAGGAGGAGGAGGGCTGGGACTGGGTGAGACAAGTGGAGCCCCAGCTCTCAGAGCCGTGGGCTCCTCCTTCCTATCTATTCTCCCCACGTGGTTTCTCTCCCCAGTTCTGACAACAGGGCCCACTTTGTCTATGGGATTGCTTGTGATAATGGTTGCATCTGGGACCTCAAGTTCTGCCCCAGTGGAGCATGGGAGCTTCCAAGCACCCCTCGGAAGGTACTTTCTGTGTGTTTGGGGATGACCTTAAGACTCAAAGCCAGGACAGAGAGAGGCCCCGGGAGTTCTCAGAGGATGGGAGAGCAGGGCTTCGAGTCTTCCCGCCACCTCATGTCCTATTTCCAGGGGCCTCAAAAGCTTTCTGAGGGGTGCCTGAGGGCGTTCAGCTCAGTGCAGGTGTGATCTTACCCTCTAGGCTCCTCTCCTGCCCCGGTTGGGTCTTTTGGCGCTTGCCTGCTCAGACGGGAAGGTGCTGCTGTTCAGCCTGCCCCATCCCGAGGCCCTGTTGGCCCAGCAGCCGCCAGGTGAGTAGCCCAGCGGAGATTAGGGCTGCTGTAAGAGTGGCAGGAGTTTAGCAGGACCTCCAGCTCCCCTGAAACCCTGCAGGCTCAGTCTGTAGTACAGGGTTTAGCTCAGCCACCCCTTCTGTTCAGACTTCACACTTGGTTCCTGAGCCTCTCCTTAGCCACCGACAGTCTTACAACTGCACTTTGCCAGCACATTACCTGCCTCCCTCTATGTTCTCTGCCCCTTCTCCTCTTGCTGCCCAAGGTGGGGTGTGGAGGGCAGTCGAGGGCTGGGACTGACAGAGGGGGGCACTCATCACATAGCCTGTCCAGCCCTCAGCAACACACACACACACACACACACACACACATACACACACACACAATCTGTTGCCAAGAGAGGAGGAGGTGGTCGAGCTTGAAGGGGTCAAGACGGTCCTGCACATTTTAAGAGGAGCTTGCCCAGATTTTGGCCTGGGGATGGTCCATACTGGGTGATCTGGTGGAGGAGGGAATGGGGCTGAGGACCTGGAGATAGTAAGTGGAGATAACTCTTTGAAGAAGTTTAGCAGTGAAGAGAATCAAATACTTGAGGTTAGTGGCTGGAAGTGGACTGAAGGAAGGGTTTACCTACTTTGTGTGACTATGGCCATGAACCAGAGGAGAGAGGAGAGACCCACATGAGCAAAATTCTGGAGAAGATGAGAAGAGAGCAAAATGGGGTGCAGGGGTGGCGGTAGCCATTCTGAGAGGAGGAGGGATGCTGTCAGGTGTGACAGAAGGAAAGAGGATGGGACCAAAGTATAAGAGAGGGTTGTTATCTAAAGAGGGAGGGGGGCTGGCTTTGAAGGGCAAAGCTTGATGGCGGCCGGTTAGGACTCACAGCACCTATTACTGCTCTTCTTCCCTCAGATGTGAAGAAGTCAGCCATTTATAAGGTGAGTGACCGACCTCCTGCTTTCGCTGGGCTCGCCTTTTAGAGCTTCTCCCTGCTGCTCCCACAGCGAACCTCCTCCTCCCCGCATTCTGCTGGATTACATAGCAGGTTTCCCTAACCCTGGTCCTGTCTCCTCTGTTTCTGCAGGTAGAGTGTGTGGCAACGCTTCAGGTGGGGTCGATGCAAGCCTCAGACCCCTCGGAGTGTGGTCAGTGCCTTAGCCTGGCCTGGATGCCCACCCGACCCCACCACCACCTGGCTGCTGGATACTATAATGGTAAACTCCAAAACCAGCCTGAGCAGCGGCCCCACTCTCAACTTTCTATACAGCCTGGCTTTCGCGGCTGGTTGCTGTCTTGGTTCAGTTCTGGGTATTTGGTACTTATTAATATTCAAACATTATTTAAAAATACCAAGAAGAAGGAAAGTCCCCAGAGCTTTTGGACTCAGAAAATAAGAGTAGGTGAACATCAATTCTTGCAGCTTTCTCTGCAGACATAAAGATGGGCTCCTGTTATATAAGTAAATGAGAAGGTATTCAAATTAATTATTTTAATTTTGTAGAGGAGACGCTGAAGTGAATGTTCTTTTACCACGGAGACACTAGTTCCCTAAGATGCCTTTTAAATGAAAAATAACATTAAGTCGTTGGGGTTAGGAGGGGGTGGTGGTGGTTTCTAAATGACAGTTTTCTTTTTAGACACGGCCCATAGACACCCTGCTGGGAAGTTAGGGGTTTTAGCACGCTGGCTCCTCTCATCGTCTCTCTCTTCATCTTGAATGGCTTTTCTTTGGGTGATGCTCTTCATTACTTTCAAGATAGCTGACACTCGATGCTGTTCCGCTGTCTTCATTCCTAAAGTGACTTAGCCTTTAATTCTGTAGCCAAGGGGTTGAGTGTCAGTACCAGCCCTTTTATCGCAACCTCCTCCACTGCTGAATTATTTATAGCACTTAGCTGTTGCTCAGGGGCCTTCTGGGTGATCCAGTGAAACACTGGGCTATTAAATGAAAGTTTGGTGCCTCAAACCCATCCTGAGGCACTTAAGACACCCAAGAAACTGCTTTTACTCTGCACACCGGGAGTCCCCAAGAGTTAGAATCACCTTGATGACAGCTAGTAGCAACAAAGCCAAGGCCTTCTGGCTGCTACAGTGCCAGAGTTTATGGATAAGACTTGTATAGCCCTTTCCAATCGCGTGTACCACAAACATTTGTTTGTCTTCTACTGAATCCAAGTTCTACCTTTGATCACCTTCTCCCTGGCCAGTGGTGTGTTGGGATTTTGCATCATCCACATTAGTCTCTGTGTGTCCGCTGTTCTCCAGCCCTTGACATTTGTAGCTTTGGGCTCCTAACCTATTCCCTGAGGGCCAGATGGTCCGCAGTGTCGGCTTTGAGAACTGCCTGTCGGGCCTTTGTCGGGCCTGCTCCACTGCCACACTGTAAGGGGACTGCAGCCATAGACTTTAGATAACTGAGTGGGTGTGGGCGGCCTTTATTTGGCATTTTGCCAAGCTTGGTCTTAGAGGACTGTTCTAGAGTCCTTTTACTTAGTGCATTCAACGTATCTTCTTTAACCGCAGGGCCTTGACTCGGTTGTTAATTGCTTATGGATGAGAATTGGAACTAAAACATCAGCTTGACTAGTTAGACCATGGAGGGAATGTAGGAGACCTGATCATATGCCCCATACCTTTCCTAAGGGTTTCTGTCTCAGGACAGAAGACAAGAACCCAGGCACCCAGAGAGAGTAGGACAAGGAAGAGAGCCTGCCTTTCATGCTGCTTGTTCTGTGTCTACCACAGGCATGGTGGTTTTCTGGAACCTTCCCACTAACTCACCCCTGCAGCAGATACGACTCTCTGATGGCTCCCTGAAGCTCTACCCCTTCCAGTGTTTTCCGGCCCATGACCAGGCTGTGCGTAACCTTCAGTGGTGTAAAGCCAACAGGTGTGGACTCCAGGAGGGTTGTTGAGGTGGAGGGGGCAAGAGTGGGGCAAACGGATGCTTTCAGCTTTGTTGATACTGAATTTTCTATCTTTTCATAGTCATTTTCTAGTCTCTGCTGGAAGTGACCGAAAAATCAAATTCTGGGACCTTCGACGACCTTATGAACCAATAAACTGTATCAAGCGCTTCCTGAGTACAGAGCTGGCCTGGCTGCTCCCCTACAATGGTGTCACTGTGGCTCAGGACAACTGCTATGCCTCGTACGGCAGGGTGGAGCTCTGGGGACAGACCCCGGGGACTGGGGTGCTGAGGCTGTCAAGTTCTTGTGAGGAGAGAAGAAGGGTGGAGAGCCGTCCCACTGACTATGATTTGAATTTGGGAAGGACTAGGGAGAACTAAAGCTCATTTTTTGAAAGGAGGTTTTAATTTTACTTCTCTGTCTTACAGTTATGGCCTCTGTGGAATTCATTATATCGATGCTGGTTACCTTGGTTTCAAAGCCTACTTCACTGCCCCTCGAAAAGGCACTGTCTGGGTGAGCCCTTTCACTTACACAGTTCCTCATCTCACAGCGAACTCTAGTCTTCACCTAGTGGTCAGAGGGGGGCAGTTTTTGGTAGAAGGAGGCAAAGATAGGTGTCATAACTGTCATGGAGTGCTTGTCTCCTCCTCCAGCCTGTGAACTAGTTGAGGGAACTGATGAGATATGAACGAATGGAATCTTTCTCTTCCTATTAGAGTCTTTCAGGATCAGACTGGCTTGGGACAATAGCCGCAGGAGATATATCCGGGGAGCTCATTGCAGCTGTAATGCCTGATTTAGCACTGAACCCAATCAATGTCAAGCGACCTGTGGAGCGAAGATTCGTACGTATATGAATATCCATGGGAAGTTCCATTTCTTGGATTCTCCTCCACAAGCCTTTCTAACTCCTGGTAGTATCCTGTCCTGATATTTCCCTGAAAGTCTTAGCACCGTCTTGTGGATAATGTTCCCAGCCCTGTGTTTAAAACACACTACTGCCCTCCATTGCTACGTTTCTGTAGCCCCAAACCAGTTTCCTGCCCCCTTCCCTTGACTCCGTAATTTTCTGCTCTGCTCTCCTCTCTAGCCTATCTATAAAGCAGACCTGATTGCGTATCAGGATAACACTGAAGAACAAGCCCAGTATTCATCTGGGGCTGCATCCGGGGCTCCCAACCCTCCCAAGGCGCGAACTTACGCTGAAACCGTCAGCCATCACTATTTGCTCTTTCAGGACACAGATTTGGTAAGGAGGGGCCAGGAGACGTGCTCCACAGCCGTCATGAGAAAAGTTAGAAGCCTGTCTTTACCCCTGGGACGGTGCGGGGAGGACGGGACCCTCAGGGGTTCCAGCACACAGATGCACGACTTCAGCAGCTGCATGCTGTCTTTCTTCCTCCTGCAGAGTTCCTTCCACAATCTGCTCCGTAGAGAACCAATGCTTCGCATGCAGGAGAGAGAGGGGCTCACACAGCTCTGCCTGGACAGGCTGCAGCTGGAAGCTATTCATAAGGTAAGAGCTTTGCCTCTTCTCCGCTGCGTTTCCCCGCCCCCGCTCTAGGTCTGTGATCAGATGCCAGCTAAGAAGAAAACACAGCTTCAGCCACCTTGCACTCTTTGCTGTATTGTCTTCCCCTTCCATTCAGATTGTGGCTCATTTTATTGTTGCGATGGTTGCTCCTTTTAGGTAGGACTCACCCAAAGGATTAACTGTGGGCATCTCTCTGTTGTCTTCCATTCACAGGTACGTTTCAGCCCAAACCTGGACTCCTACGGATGGCTGGTATCTGGGGGGCAGTCAGGGCTGGTTCGGATCCATTTTATCCGTGGACTCACCTCCCCACTGGGCCACCGTATGCAGCTTGAAAGCCAAGCCCAATTCAATGCTATGTTCTAAGCATCCTATCCTACTGAAGGGCTCGGCTTCCATTCCAGCCAGCCATTGCCTTCTGCCCAGTCCCTAGTCTTAATCCACACGGACCCTTGGAATGAAGTCTGCCGAGAACAAATGGCCTCCAAGCCAGAGGGCTGGGGCTTTCCTGGACAGTTCCGCTGCCCAGGCCGGAACCTTGGGGCCTGCTTCATCAGGCCTCTCTAGATCCCTCTCCTTCCACAGACTTTCTCCTCTGATCACAGCCTCCTGTGGGCACGGGGGCGCTCCCTCCATGAACTCTCAAGGCTCCGCAGCCTAACACTTTGGTTCACAAGAAGCACTCAGGCCTGACCTAGGCTGGGGAGTCAAATTGCTCATATTGAGCTTATTGTGAAGTAGGTACAGCCAAGTAAAGGTACTGGGTGTTTTGAGATCACATGTGAGTGGGTGTTTGGAGAGTTGGAAAGGGTATTTGCATGAAGGCACCCGTCTGACTATTCCAGAATCCAGTGTTACTGCCTTCCCAAACGTCCTCTTTCCAGTAACCAACATGTAGGCCTATGAGGGGTGATAGTAATTTATTGGACAGAAGCTGCTTATAGTATTTCTTCAACTGAGGAACACCGCAGACACCCTACCAATAGAACAGCGACTCAGATCTTACTTGCTCCTGCTTTTGAAATATTCCTGGCCACTGGTCATCTGACCCTACTTGAACACTCCTAGACAGTCATGTTTCAGAGATCTTCCTTTATATCGTCCAAGAATATACCTCTACATTTACCCATTGGTGTTAGGAAATCTAGTCATTCTTCCCTGTGATTGCCTTTTAAGTATTTAACAATAGCTATCATGTGTTCCCCGAGTATTTTCTTCTCTAGATTAAATTTCTTCAGTTTATTCAACCATTCTTTTACAAGTCATGGTTTTTGATCCTTCATGGTAACTGTCACATTGCTGACTTATTAAATACGTTTAGCTACTTGGTTTCAGCTCGGTGTATATAGGAGTGTTCAGAACCCAAGGACAATAATTTCTGTCTGGTTATCGCTCCTCTAGTTAAGCGTTGTTGTTTTGGGGGATGCTGCAGACTCACGGTGTTGTCCCTCAAGTAAGACAGACTCCAGCAGAGAGACCTAGGCAGCCAGTCTTGGAGTGCACGAGAGTATAGGCTGGGGCTCGGGGGCAGAGAAGTTGGCCGCAGTCCCATTGGAAGTGCCTGCGAAGAACATATCGTGCGGTGCTCTAACTGTCCAGCTATCGGGACAGCTTCCTGCTGCTCCAAGGAGGCCATTTCTCGGACATCAGGAAATCTGAGATGAATCAAGTAGTTGAATCCCTTTCATGTACAGACAAAGATCACTAGCAGCAGAGGGACCACCACCCAAGGAGGCGAGTGTTACCCCACCCTAGTGGGGCTCCAGCCTACATGGTGCCAGGGTGAGGTTTCTGGGCTGATAGGGAAGTGTCTCCCATGGCCAAGAAGTTTATCTGCACAGCTGCCCCATGACATTACCATGGAAGCTCACTGGGGGCCTAAGGTGCAGGTTGGTGCTGGTTGCATTGCTGCTGCCAAGGCAGCCCTGCTCTCCGCCTCCAAAAGAGAACTGGGATGCTTTCAGCCTTTGGTCTTTATCTCCGTCAGGCCACTACACTCAATCCCTAACACCCCCACCCCCAACTAATCGTATGTTCTCCATTGGTTCCTGCCCTTTTCTACCTTTGTGCCTTTGCACACACTATGCTCTCCTAGGAGTGAACATTTTTCATCAGCTCCACTTGAGTCCCATTGTCCTTCAAGATCCAGCCAAATCCTTCACCAAGGGGCCTTCCCAGATTTCTCCATGTATTCCCAAGGGGGCGGGAGGGGAACGGGATAAACATTTATTAAGCGCTTGAGATGCACGTGTTATTCAATCTTTTAAGGGTGGGTATTGGCACGTTTGACTTACACTCAGCTGCTAAGAGGGTAGGCAGCCCAAACAAGGTCACTGAACTTAGTAATGATGGTGCTTGGGTCTGAACCCAGACTGCCCGGCTCAGAGCAGTCCCTTTTGCTTCAGCTTTCAGTCTACCACGCTGTCCCATGACATTTACAAGTGTAAACTCCAACATGGTGTTTTGCACTTCGGGTCCTTCAGTTAAAAGATAATGACAAATTCTCTTGCTTCCTTACTCTGTTTCTCTAGTATCTGACAGGGTTCTCCCTCCCTGTCGTACTCATGTAGGAACTGGGTGAATGGGGGCTGACAGGTGGAGAACCCGAAAGGGGTAGTTGATAGCTGCCAACCTGACAAACCCACCCTCAGGGGCATTGTAAGCATTTCTAAGACAACCCTAGAAAGCCTCATTGCAGGAGCCTTGGTGGTGGTGTAGGCTGAGTTGGGCTACAGACGACAAGGTCAGCAGTTTGAAACTACCAGCTGCTCCACAGGAGAAAGATGCTTTCTACTCCCATAAAGCCGTGTAATGTTCGCCTTGGAAATCCACAGGGGGGTGGGCAGTTCGAGTCGGCCCTGTAGGGCCTCTGAGCGTCAGAATCAAAATTTTTAAGTAAGAATGTTGCACCATATTAGCAATCCTTACAGTGATAGAACCGGAAAGGGATTAAGTCTAGTTTTCACGCACTAATTTCTAAAGTGTAAACAGAATAGCCCCTAGGGTAGAATAAGTGTCTCACCCGCCTCCGCAAAGGGCCCTGTTTGAATATCAGGGACCTCCCATTTTATAGCGGAAGAATATTGGGTTCAAAGCCATTATTGATCATGGCTGCAGGCAGTTAACTCAAACCTTCAAGCAGTGGGTTCTGTTGACTCCACTGCTTCCTAAAGGCAGCAAAGCCCCCATGGAGACGGTGAACAAGTCACACTTCAACCCACTCAGGAGTTCACGGCCCCCGGGGCCTGCGGGGAGTCAGTGCAAATGCTTATTCTCCCCAAGTTTGTTGTAAAGTGCCCTGCGAGACCGGGTCCTCGGCCAGTTGGAGCGGGAGTAGAGGGTGGCACCCAGGGTTAGGCGAAAAGTCGGGGAGGAGACATGGCCGGTGGGCCGCACGCCAAGACCCGGCATGGTCCACGTCCCCTGAATGGGTGGATACCAGCAGAGGGTGACCAAGCCGAGCCCCTGCCCACTCCCAGCCGCAGGAAAGGGCGGGGCTCGCGGAGGAAGTCCGTCTGTCGGCTCCGGTCACGTGGGCGCGAGCCGCTGCCGCCTGGAGCTCCCGCGCCGGTGAGTTGCGGACGCTCGGTGCCCACTGGTACGAGGTGCCGCGCGCGCGGGCTGCCGCGGGCCCACTTCCCGGCGTGGCGTTCGAGCCAAGAAGGATGCGGGCTCGTTCCACTAAATCTGAGTCGGGGCCCCCAGACGGCGTGGAAATCAAAGCCAACCCATCCTCCCTAGTTGGCCCAGCTTCAGGGTTGCGAGTGGGGAGGCAGGTGGCTGCCACTGAGACTCCTCCACAGTCTTCTCTCCTGATTGCCTAGGAATCCTGTGACAGGAAGCAGCCCTCCTGACAGCTTAGGAGAGGGAGAGTGGGGGAGGGTGCAAGAGGACAGGACGGAGCGGGGTGATGGGGGTGACCTCCCTCTCTCCTTTTGGCTTGACAGGAAGCATGGCACTCTGGCGGGCATACCAGCGGGTCCTAGCTGCACACCCGTGGAAAGTGCAGATCCTGACAGCTGGTGAGTTCCCACCTGGGACCAGAGTGGGACCAAGGGAGGCTCCTTTGGGAGACAGACTGGTCCCACCGCACCTCCCTGTTCCTGGCTTCTACTCAGCCCTCTTTAACAGCTGGCTGTCGTTCTTAGCCGCCCTTAGTCTTTTGGAGGGTGGGCGCTCTGGGCTGTTCTTGTGGGAGGGGTATGCATTGTGTTGGCCTAGTAGGTTGGTGTGGTAGGATCTGAAAGTTCTCAAAAACTGATGTTGCCTGGACTTAGAAAACAGATCCTAACCACTACCCCCAACCTTGTACAGTGAGCACAGCATTGTCACACACACGTTCTCTCACAGGGTCCCCAGAAGGCTGTCAGCTGGCATTGTCTTGACTCCACATTAGACCACACACCAAATGAGGGCTAACATCAAGACTCACCCCCAGTTTTGCTTAGTATTTTATATTACGAGTGTATCTTAAGATACACAATAATGATTAAGGCATGAAGACACCGTCTAAATAGTATTAAAACTAAAAGTTAAAGAAACATCCATGCCCAGTTTCAAGAACACCCGAGTGCCTCTCCCTAATTCACATAACCTTGATTTAACCATGCTGCTGCTTTGTTTATGTCCTTCTTGCTTTTCTCAACGACTTATGCTTCCCAACATGATTCCAACCTGGGTGCTGTGGGTTTAACTCTAAATTCAAACTGGCAAAGGTCATCAATCAGTGACTTCCCCGCATTTATTAACATCTTCACTGTAGCAGAGGCAGCCCTCGGAGAGAAGGGGTCCGTGCTGGGTTGCTGATCACGCAGCAGCAGGAAACCACCAGCCCTAGAGAAGGGGTCCGTACTGGGTTGCTGATCACGCAGCAGCAGGAAACCACCAGCCTGCTTCTCAGGAGAAAGACATGGCTTTGACTCCCATAAAGCGTTGCAGTCCCGGAAACCCTGCCTGTAGGGTTGCTATAAGTCAGCATTGACTCCATGGCAGGGAGTTTGTTTGTTTTCAGTGTAGCAGGTCTGATAACCTAAGAGGGTTAAGTAGGTGCCACTGGGGGAAGGGTTAGGACACCCGTAACCATTGGGACACTGCAAGTAGCCATCAGATTAAGATAGCCTTGCGGATTGTGGTAAGAGCTGTAAGAGGCCCCAGTAAAATAAAATTTAAATTAAGAAAAATTAATACTCAAAACAGATGCCTTTTTTTTTTTAAACTAGTTCAGCTGAACTTCTCAAAGCTAGTTTAGTTTTGCAAAGACTATGGGAGATAGCTTTGGGTTCAGCTTTAAAGGTGATCTCAGGACAATCGTTTCTGGGGTTCATCTAGTCCCCATGGCTCCCAGTTAGCCTAGCGTTCATGAGAATCGGAAATTCAACAGGACATTCTTTTACAACTTAGTTCTAACTTTTTTAAAAAGCTAGCCGATAGAATGACTATTTCCGAAATTGTCCAGGATTCTCTAGGCTAGCGTAGTCTCCTTTTCCAGGGAGAGATTTCACCTGAGAGCTGTGTCTAGTTCTGTTTCTGAGTATTTGTTCCCACCAGATGGCCCGCTTCTGGCTCAATCTTTGAAATGTCCTCTCAACAAGTTTGCCTTTCGAGGCCCCCCTAGCAATTTGAGGACTGCTGAGGTCTATGTCCCATTTCATCTAACAGGGTGCTCCAATCTTCCATCACTCTTCAATCTGGAGATTAAACTAACAAAAAGAGACTTGCTGATGCTTACAAACAAAAAAGACCCCAACCCACTGCCAGCGAGTAGACTCCCACTCATAATTCCCACTCATAAAAATCCTGTAGGGGATTTCTGAGGCTGTAAGTCGTGTGGGAACTGATAGCCTCCTCTTTCTCTCAAGGAGCTGCTAGTAGGTTTGAGCCACCAACCTTGCAGTTAGACAATCAATGCTTGCCAGACAGTGCTGTGTTTAGAGGAAGGGAGAATTCTAGTGAGGGCCATAGGCTTCTAGGGGAGAAGACTGGCAAAGTTAGGAGGCGAGTGGATACCAAGGTGGAACAGGGATTTTATTACTGGAAGGGCCCTACGTCAGCACAAGAAACTTCTCTAGGGGACTGGCCAGGCGATGGACTCTTGCCCCTCCTTGGGTCCCTCTTCGCCCCCCACCCCCACCCTTTGTCCTGTCCTCAGAGTGTCCGTCAGCCCACATGACTCACCTGGTTGCGTGTGTGGTGACTCATGCTGGACTGTGTGGCTGTGATGGGAACTGACAGGCTGGGCCCAGTGCCCAGCTTCAGATTCCCTGCGGGCCAGGGACTGCCAGAAGGAAGGTCCCCTCCTGGCCATCAGGAATAGGGAGGAGGGACAGACCCTGTATTTCCCTATTTCATGGGATCGGTGGCTGGTGAGACCAGCAACTAGAGCTCCAGGGGGCCCAAGTGCAGAGCTGTGGCTGCAGGGGGGCGGGGTCCAGCCTGTCTGAGTGAGAGCCACACCCCCCCTCAGGCTTCCTGAGAAGCAACTCACAGCCCCTGGGAAGCACCTTTCTCATGCTTTACTTCCCTGCTGCTCCATGTATTTGAATCACAGTACCATGGATTTAGCTCACCATGCCATATTTGGACCCCATGCCGTGGTTCTCAACCTTCCTAATGCCACGACCCCTTAATGCAGTTCTCCATGTTGTGGTGACCCCCCAACCATAAAATTAATTTCATTGCTACTTCATCACTGTCATTTGACTACAGTTATGAATCGGGCAACCCCTGTGAAAGGGTCATTTGATCTCCCCAAAGGGGTTGTGACCCACAGGTTGAAAACCCGCTGCCCTAAGGCCTAGGGGACAGCTCAACACACTGGGAAATGGAGCACAGGTTTCAAGGTTGGAGAGAGTGTAGGCCAAGGTTTGAATGTGAGCCTTAGCACTTAGCAGTGGCACTCTCCAGGACGAGGCAGTAAACTTCTCTGGGCCTCAGTTTCCTTCTTTGGAACTCGGATTTAGTTATGTTGCAGCACAGGGCCATTGTCGGAATTGTATCTGTGAAAAGACTGTGGAGATCAAAACTTGTTACAAAGGCTCGATGCGTGTTGGCAACCCGGGGACAACAGGTTCTTCTTTTTATAGAGGTGCTTGGGTTGGGTTTCTACTACTGGTTGCAAACCTGAACCCTGATAAGGATCCTAGCTTCGGTTCCCCTAAAAACAGCCTGAAGCTTCTATGCTGGTACTTTGTTGAGGAGTGATCCCGGGGAGGGGAAGGAAGAGCGGATGCAGGATGCAGTATGCAGTATTAGATTGGCCCCTGCCAAGTGTTACTTGTTCAATCTCCTGGACTGTCTGAGAGCTCTTGGAAACGCATCCTAGAAGTATCTGTACAGAGAGAACCGTCTTAAAAAACAAAACTCACTGCTATCGCATGGACTCCGGCTCATAGCGATCCCCTGGGACAGGGCAGAACTGCCCCTGTGGGGTCCTGAGACGGTAACTACGGGAGTAGAAAGCCGGGCCTGGTGCTTTTGATCTGTTCACTTTGCAGTGAGCAGCCCAGCACATAACCACGACACCACTAGGCTCCTTGGTATGGAAAAAAGAGAACCCTCTCCACTGACTCCCATCTCACTCGGGTCCTCAAAATGCATTTTCAGGGGCCCTGTGCTCAGGCACTGGTGGGACTGTCGTCCAGGTGAAGCCCCGGGTGCAGCTTAGGCCACAGGCAAGTGTCTCTCAGGTCGAACTGCCATCCTGGTGCGTCAAGAACCAAAAAAGGAGTCTGATCCAATGGGGTCAAGCTATAGGCAGAGGCAGGTAGCCTATGGGAAGGCCCCCTGCTCGTTCTTTAGAGGGTCTGAGTCCGTTTTCCTTCTTGAGGGGTTTTCCAGTCACCAGGGGTGCCAAGGCCCAGCCCCTCTCATCCTCGACCACTCTGTCCAGCTGTGGGGACACGGGAGCACTGTAGACAATGGCCCCTGGAGTCTGAGTGCAGGGGGCAGAGCTCAGCAAGACCTAGAGGCCATCCAGCCCAGCACCTGATAGGACGGAAGGCACGGAGGCGAAGGGGAAGGACATGCACCGAGGTCTCCTTGGTAAGAAAGCAGGCAGTACGCCTAGGTCAGCCCCGTTACACTGCCTTGTGCTGAGCAGGGCCCCCATGGTTTGGACTTAATGCCTGACAAGTTATAGAACCTTCCCTCTTGTTAATTTTCTAGCAGTAGACAAGAGTCAGGCCAGGAATGACCAACAGGTCTGACACCCAAGGGGTGGTATAAATTCTAGAGACCACAGCCAGTGAATTCGTTTTCTCTCTTTACTGTGGGACTCCAACCTCCCCTGGGCATGGAGCCAGCCCAGGCCCCCACCACAGGTGGGTCTGTATCTGGAAGGAGGGAGTGGGCAGCACTGCTGGCCAGGTATCAGGACCTGTACCTGCCTACCCAGGCCTCCTGAACTCAGGGCCACACTTCTTCCTCTTTCAGAAGCCACTTCTGGCCCCTCTGCCTTCCCATCTCCCACTCACACTATTTTCTTACTCCAAGATGCCACACACTAAAGCCAGGGGAGGAACAAAGTAAGGGAAATGGGAATTTGCCCTCCCTCAAGACTGGGGGAGCTTGGACTTTTCCACTCGTGGGCAGGGGTGGTCCCAAATAGATCTGCGCCCAGAGGTGGGCTCCACCCCTCCCTACTCCACTCTATCTGGTGGGGAGTGACGGCATGAGAACTGGCACCGACCCAGGGGCATGATGTCACACCGCGCCAGCGTCTGCCTGCTGGGCTCTGCGCCCAGCCTGGCATTGGGGCGTCACTGCCTGGCAGCCCCTTGCCTTGCCCCATTGGGGCCCTGGCTACTATCTTTGCAGACCTCCAGCCCCAGCCCCCAGAAGTGAGCCAAACCCCCAGGTTCAGCGTATTAAACGAGCCAAACACAGTATGTCCAGGAAGACTCCGGGGCCTGGGTGGTTCGGGTCTGCTTGGGCGGAGTGGCAGAAGATGGGATGAAGAATCTGGGTGGTGGAGCTCTTCCTGCCCAGAGGATCACTTGGGCTTCAGTGCAGGCTTTGCTCTACTGTACCAAGGCTTTAGAAAGCCCAGAGGGCTGATCTTCTATGGCCTGAAAGGAACCTATAAGTTGCGCTCCGTCTGAGATGAACAGAGCTACACACCTGTAACCCTTCCTGCTGCCCATAATTTTGGAGTCAAATCTAGGGGCCTGGTTTGGGGCCCTGAAATCCAAATTTCTTTCAGTGACTGAGGCTCCCAAGTCAGGGGCCTGGGTTTCCCTTCTGGACTGCCTTTGTCATGCTGTGTGACGGCTGGCAGACCCTGACCAGGGAAAACATGCCCCTTCCTTTGTGGCTCCTTCGCAGGCGTTCAGAGAAATGGGAACCAGGCTGCCTGCCCCGCTGCCACTTGACAAGGAACATCGGTGAATGCTCTCTGGGACATTAAAGGCAGAGAAAGCATGTTAGTCCGGGGCCGCCTCTGCCCTGTGGGACCCTTGGCAGAACCCCAATGCAGAGAAGCACCCCTAGGAGCCTCGTGGCCCTCTGGCCTCAGAGCCCACGAACCTGTGGCTGGAGAGAAGAGCTGGGTTCCGGTCCCACCTCCACTCCATACCAGACCACCTTTTGTGGAGACTGAATGTGGGAGAGCCCTCTGCAAGCTAGGCATCCCACCGGGAGCAGACAGACAGACTGACGTTGCCGCGTTCAGGGAAGTCCCGTCATCCCCCACCCTGCTCGTGGCCATCTCTCCTTGCAGTGACACCGTCACCATCTCACCTGCCCGAGGTGGGTGTGAGGGTGGCTGGGGGCAGGGGACAGAGCTTTCAGTTCCACACGGCCCTCACACCTTGAGTGTGACAACCTGGTTCTTGGAGCTCCGTACCCTTTTCCCAGAGCAACCCCAGTCATGGGGGCAGTACATTGGACATTTGTCCCGAGTACCTGCCAAAGGCTGCTTCAGAGATGGTGGGGAGGAGAGAAGAACCATGCCTGGCTCCCAGCCTTCCCTTCTAAGAGTGTTCTGGAAAGAGCCTCCACCACCCCCTAGAGAGGTCGAGGGCTGCCCTGATGGGTGTGCTGGGGTCACCCAGAATGGCTCTGTGGGTGGCAGTGCCAGCCGCAGCAGAGAGCAGCCACTCAGGTCACCTCTGGCTACCCAGTCCCAGCCCCAGCCCCAGCCCCAGCCTGACGCAGCTGCCTCTGCCTGGGTGGTTCAGGGCCAGGGCTGTGCGGAGGGTGTGGGCAAAGAACAGAGCAGCGAGTGTGCAGCCAGCATGGACGTCAGAGCCGGCCCCAGCCAAGGAAAGGGTGAAGGATGTGTTTGCCCAGCGCTAATTGAGGGCACAGGGACATGGTGGCCGCAAGCTGGAGGGGCGCTCTCATTACTCAGTGAGATAGGCCAGCGAGCTGGAGGTCATACAGTCACTCCTCAAGAAGCCTTATAAACGTGTGTTTG